GAGTCGTCCTCAGAGGTAGAGGACAGAGTCATTACTGGGACTTTATCTGGTGTATGAAAAGATTTTAACTGATTACTGTGGCAAGTTTTAGTTTTTGAGGTCTTATCAAGGGGAGCTACCACATAATTTACATCAGATAATTTACTTACAATTTGCATAGGTCATGTAAATCTAGCTTTCAAGGTGTGGCCAGGTATAGGTTCCTGCACCAACACCTTGTCTCCTGGATGGAAGGAGCAGAATTGTGCATTTCTGTCATACCTCTGTTTCATCTTATTTTGAGCTGCCTTTAGGTTAGCCTTGGCTAACTGACGTGCCACCTGCAACCTTGAAGACGGGTTGTAGAGTGTTGAGCTAACGTCTTCTCCCATCCATCTTTCTTTGAGCACCCGAAGAGGACCTCGTACGTTGTGCCCAAAGATCAGCTCAAACGGACTATACCCGGTAGACTCTTGCACCGTTTCTTGCACTGAGAACAGCAACAAAAGTAGTGATTCATCCCAGTCTGTAGGAAAATGCATGCAAAAAGTTCTCATCATGGTTTTTAACGTCTAATGGAATCTTTCCAAGGCGTCTTGGGACTGAGGATGATAGGAAGTGGATAAGTTGTGGATTATCTCTAACCTAGTTAATGCTTCCCTAAATGCTTTGGCAGTGAAGTTAGTTCCTTGATCACTTTGAATAGTTTTAGGAATGCCAAAAAAAGAAATAAATCTAGTCAAAGCTTTAAGAATTGCTTTAGTATTAATACTGCACATGGGAATTGCTTCAGGGTATCTAGTTACTCTATCCATAATGGTAAATAAATACTGATTTCCCGACTTTGACCTAGGTAGTGGACCTACACAATCTATAATTAAATCTGCAAAAGGTTCTCCATCAGCAGGTATAGGTTGAAGAGGTGCAGGTTTAATGGAATGTCCAGGTTTCCCTACTTGCTGACATTCTCGGCAACACCAGATATGATTCTTCACATCCTGCTTTAATTTTGGCCAATAAAATTCTTTTGTAATTCTATATAATGTTTTGGTAATTCCTAGGTGACCTCCTAATGAAGTATTATGAGCTATATTCAATATTTGAGGTCTAAACTTTGTTGGAAAACCACTAACCTGTCAGACAATTGCCGACCCTCTATCTCCTTACCAGTCTCAGTACAGAACAAATAGTCGTTTTTAAGTTTATACTTGACCGGATGATCCAAAGAGGATTTACCCATGGCTGCCTGAAAAGCGAAATTTAAAGAAGGGTCCTTTCATTGTTCCTCCCAGGACAGTCCCTCAGGCATGGAAACAGAGATATCTGGCAATCCTGCAACCTGGAAATAGGAAGGCTTGATCGGGGTCTGTTCACTTGATCTACGAGGCCCTGGCCAGTTTTCCTCATAAAACAAAGTGGCTATTCCGAGATCAGAGTCGTCCAAGGATAGGTCAACATTTTCGCCAGACAACCCTTGGGATGTTGCCTGAGTTATGGCCAACACCGGAGAAGAATTAATCATTATGGGTTCAGGACACACACTAGCAGTGGTAATGTTATTACCCAGTAATAACATGGCATCTTTCATGGGGAATCCTTCGAATACACCCACAGTCAAGTATCCAGTGTAATATTTGCACTGTACATAAATTTTATGCAAAGGGACAGAATATATAGCTCCTTCAAATGCTTCCAACAAAACGGAGGAATTTAAAGAGGTATTCTTTGAAAGGGGTAATATTCCTTCTCTTATAAGTGAGCAATATGCTCCAGTATCTCTAAAGGTTTTGACTTAAGTTGTTTTGGAGTTTTCCTGAAGGGAAATAAGACTCTGACAGTAGTAAGGGGCCATCCCTTTTTCTACTTCTTTCAGGGACATGTTACTAGGGATGTTAGAGATTTTCCCAATGGGTTGGGGTTTTTGGGGGCAGATGGGACGGATGTGACCTACTTGGTTACAGATGTAGCAGACGACAGGCTTGCCCTTTACTCCCTGCTGACGTTGCAACTGGTGTCGCTCTGGCTGATGTCTCTCTGGATACTGTTGTCGAGTTGCACCATGATGAGGGGTTTGTCTCTCACCAAGTGGACCATAAGTTGAGAAGCGAGGCTCACCAGGTGACTTAGTTGGCTGATGTAGACGTTCTTCTTCCGGCTGGCACTTCATCCTCCAAGGTTGACGATCTCTGCTCATGCCAGGCTGTTGTAAAGAGAGACGGGACCGCTCGGACATGGAGCAGTTAGTTTCAAAGGTATCAGCCAACCTGGCTGCCTCCAATGCAGTGGTTAAGTCACAATCCTGCAGAAAGACTCGAACCTCGGGTCCCACAGATTCCAGCAGGTTGTCAACCAGAATAAGCTGCACAAGATCATCAAAGATAGCAACACCACTTGCTTTATACCAGCTGGTAAAAGCTTTGGTCTGCTGTCGCACAAAATCAAGCAGGGATTGACCAACCTGTCGTCTACCTAGCTTGAAAAGCTTCCGATACTTAGCTGGGATACAAGTATATGCTCCCAACACTGTGGTCTTCACTTCATAATCGGAAAAATCAGTGTCATTTAACACTGGCGTAAATTCCTGTGCCTTACCAAACAATGCTGTGTGAACCAACGATGCCCAATGCTGTTCCGGCCACCTCAAGACTCGAGCCTGATTTTCGAAGCTTTCGAAAAATTGTTCTGGTTCGGCCTCATTGAAGCGGGGAACAAGCTGTACTGCTTTCTGTAAACTAAAATCATTTACAAGATGCGAAAACTGCCTTCTTTCTTTTTCCCTATCAAATTCTTTTGCAAATGCTCTCTGTTCCCTAGTCTGCTTGCTCAAGATTGATTTTTGCCAGCTCAAGTGCCAACGCCGCTGATTCACCTTGAGACAACCCTGCTGCACTAGACTGACGGTTTTGCTCCGTTGATGTATCATCTTCCTCTTGTGAGAACATAGTTTTATTCCTAGGTCCCGTAGAGGGAGGAGTCTGATGTGCCATCTCTTCTCGAAGTTTGTTGGTGATCAGTGAATGCAGTTGAGCAGCTGTGAGAGTGCATTCGTAATGAATGCCAATGGAACGAGCAATTTGCCAACAACGCTGTAGGGACAATTTAGGTAGGTTAAACAAAGTACAGTGGACCCCCGCTTAACGATCCCCTCCCAATGCGACCAATTATGTAAGTGTATTTATGTAAGTGTGTTTGTACGTGTATGTTTGGAGGTCTGAAATGGACTAATCTACTTCACAATATTCCTTATGGGAACAAATTCGGTCAGTACTGGCACCTGAACATACTTCTGGAATGAAAAAATATCGTTAACCGGGGGTCCAATGTATATGCCGACACCAGACATCTGACTTGTCTAGGTGGCATACCCCAGTGTATAAGTTATTTGCTATGCACAGTACGATTGCAGAATACCCCAACGTAACACGTTATTTGCAGAACACGCTTAGCTATGCACAGTACGATTGCAGAATATGCATACAAGGTGGATACGCAATAGCAAAGCTGACTGCAAAATCTTCACACCGAACAAGCTAGTAGCGAGCTGTTAAACGATCACACAATAGCAAGGCTGACCATAGCAAAGCAACTGACACGCAAAGTTTGTAAAGCGTTGGCAAAGCTAATGCAATGCCGGACAGCAAGCTGCACACTGTTCCACAAGATTGACCGTAGCAAAGTGAGCACACTGAACAAGCTAGTAGCGAGCTGTTGAACGATCACACAATAGCAAGGCTGACCATAGCAAAGCAACTGACACACAAAGTTTGTAAAGCATTGGCAAAGCTAATGCAATGCCAGACAGCAAGCTACACAATGTTTCTGCTTCCAGCTTCACCCTAGGCTCAACCCTTTCTCTAAGTCCAGCTCCAGCTCCTGGACAGGCTACCCATACTACAACCCAGGAGTCCAAATGGCCTGTTATCCTGGGTGTAAAGGGAGCAAAATAAACACAGCAGAAAACTTTTGACTTATATTATCCTTCACCAATTTAGAACAGAAGTATGTACACTATATACGCTATGTACAGCGATAGGTATTAGTGCACTCCACGGTAAGCAAGGCAGAATAGAAGCCACTAGAGAGCAGACCGTGCTTCAACCAGCTCTAGAATGGGAATGACAAGGCAGACAGGAGAGTGGTACCCACATAACCTCTGCGATTGCCAAAACCATCTTCTTATTGGCTGGAACCTGGTTACTGGTTGAACGATGGGGCCCCATCATCAACCCTCAGTCACCTGGTTCGCTGGTTGGGGGAGATAGCCTGTAAATGAGGGTGTGTACATGCGCCGAATAAAGGTTACGTACTCTTTGCATGTCACAATACACATTAGTCTACATGGAAGAACAGGTGTTTGTTTAAAGGTGCATGAAAAAACATTTTGTAAATCTTGTAAAAACAAGATTTACAAAATGCACTGAGGTTTGTGTTCAATTATCAAGAGTTATTTAATGTACTAGTACAATACAACCTCTCCTCACTTAACGGAGTTCCGTTCCTAAGACCACATCGGAAAATGAATTAATCGCTAAGTGAGGAGCATACTGTATTGGTAGTGGGTTTGTGTGGGCCATCTTTGATATTGTTTAAATGTTATCATTGCACCATTTATAACATTTCTGGTATATTCTTAAATATTTATACAGTAGTGTACTGTATATTGTAATAAACATAATAGAGGAAATCAGCTCTAATAAACAGTATTTAGGTATGTATACTGGTCAGAGAGCCCGTCGTAAGTCCAGGTTGTCAGTAAATGAGTACATCGCTAAGTGAGGAGAGGCTGTACATGTAATTAATGTATGAACACATTGCATGAAACACAACTGAATGCAATTTTTTTTTTTTTTGTCCTAGAAGTTAGTCAGTGACATTATGAAAACATTTTTCACATCATAATGTGTGGCAGTAGAGGTAAGAGTTAAGCTCGTTAAAGTTTTCCACTCACCACTGACACACGTTTCAGAATGTGAGTAATACTGGTGTTACACTTCGTGGTTCAGACACAGACACCAGCAAGCATGGGCGCTCCACTGATGATGCTGCTCCACACAAACATCACCAGGTTTGATACTCCACTTAAATGTTCTTTCCACTCCTCTTTTCCAGTACCCCCCAGGACCTAACCTAACTTTACTATCTTACCTATAAGTATAATTATAATAATTATATTATCATATACTGTAATTATTATTATAATAATTACAGTGGAACCTCTACTTGCGAGTTTAATCCATTCCATGACCTTGCTTGCAACTGGATTTGCTCGTTTGCAGAGTCAATTTTCCTCATTTAAATTAATTGAAATGCAATTAACCCTTTGACTGTTTCCGACGTATAAATACGTCTTAGGAGCCAATGTTTCTGACGTATTTATACGCATAAATTCTAGCAGCTTCAAATCAAGCAGGAGAAAGCTGGTAGGCCCACATGTGAGAGAATGGGTCTCCATGGTCAGTGTGCACTATATAAAAAAAATCGGGGAGCCAGTGGTGCATTGTGGGAATGCCATTTCAGTTGTCCTTTTTCAGCATGTCTAGCGGTAAGAAATATGTGATTCCCCAGCAAATCTGGGACTCTTCTCTTCCCAAGTGATGCTCTAACACAGATGGAAGTGTCAGTGAAGATCAATTTCATGATTTGGAGGAGTTTGAGACCAAAAGCAATGGAGGGGGAGGAGGGGAGGAAGAGGAGGAGGAGGAGGAGGAGGAGGGAAGGAGGAGGAGGAGGAGGAGGAGGAGGAGGAAGAAGAAGATGTAATAATATTGTTCCCTTGAAGCAAGAAAAAAAAAAGTCCACCCCATGACAGTGACAAGATAAGGGGAGATAACATCTGATAAGAGCTGACTTTGATGAGCGTAAAGGAGGGTAATATTACATGACCATCGCCCTCCCTTTGTTTTTGCTGGTACACAAACATTTCTGTCTGTCTATTTGTCTGTCTGTCAAGCTCCCTGTCTGTCCATCTAGCTCTCTGTCTCAGAGAGAGCCACAAGACTGTGTCATCACGTTTACTCACATCTTCAAGCAGAGTATAGCACTTTGTCTGGATTTCTTGGGTTATCCTAGGTAATTTACACTATGTATACTTGTATTTATGTGTACCTGTGAGACAGAGATAGGCAGACAGATAGAAAGAGAGACAGATTGAAAGATATAGAATAAGGGAGAAAGATAATTAGATAGAATGGAGGAGGGGAAGCAGCATCCGACCCCATTGTTTTGACAGGCGGTAGGGGAAGTGACTAATGAGACAATATGTCACTTTGACAGCTGCCGACTTCTGACTCAAAACAATTATAAGCCACACACTCGCACACAAGACAAGGAGGAGGAGAAGGAGGAGGAGGAGGAGGAGGAGGAGGAGAAGGAGGAGGAGGAGGAGGAGAAGGAGGAGAAGGAGAAGGAGGAGAAGGAGAAGGAGGAGAAGGAGAAGGAGGAGAAGGAGAAGGAGGAGAAGGAGAAGGAGGAGAAGGAGAAGGAGGAGAAGGAGAAGGAGGAGAAGGAGAAGGAGGAGAAGGAGAAGGAGGAGGAGGAGAAGGAGAAGGAGGAGAAGGAGAAGGAGAAGGAGGAGAGGAGAGGAGGAGAAAGGAGAAGGAGGAGAAGGAGAAGGAGGAGAAGGAGGAGAAGGAAGGAGGAGAAGGAGAAGAGGAGAAGGAGAAGGAGAAGGAGGAGAAGGAGAAGGAGAGAAGGAGAAGGAGAGAAGGAGGAGGAAAGGAGAGAGGAGAAAGAGAAGAGAGGAGAAGGAGAAGGAGGAGAAGGAGAAGGAGGAGAAAGGAGAAGGAGGAGAAGAAGGAGGAGAAGGAGAAGGAGGAGAAGAAGAGAAAGGAGAAGAAGGAGAGAAGGAGAGAAGAAGGGGAGAAAAGGAGGAGAAAAGGAGAGAAGAAGGAAAGAAGAGAGAAAAGGAGGGAAGAAGGAGGAGGAGAAAAGGAGGAGAAGAAGGAGGAGAAGAAGGAGAAGAAGGAGGAAAGAAGAGAGAAGAAGGGAGAGAAGGAGGAGAAGAAGGAGGAGAAGAAGGAGGAAAGAAGGAGGAGAAGAAGGAGGAGAAGAAGGAGAGAAGAAGGAGGAGAAGAAGGAGGAGAAGAAGGAGGAGAAGAAGAGGAGAGAAGAGAGAGAAGGAGGAGGAGAAGGAGGAGGAGAAGGAGAGAGAAGGAGGAGAGAAGGAGGAGGAGAAGAGGAGGAGAAGGAGGAGGAGAAGAGGAGGAGAAGGAGGAGGAGAAGGAGGAGGAGAAGGAGAGGAGAAGGAGAGAGAAGGAGGAGAAGAAGGAGGAGAAGAGGAGGAGAAGAGGAGGAGAAGGAGGAGAAGAAGGAGGAGAAGAAGGAGGAGAAGAAGGAGGAGGAGAAGGAGGAGAAGGAGGAGGAGAAGGAGGAGGAGAAGGAGGAGGAGAAGGAGGAGGAGAAGGAGGAGGAGAAGAGAAGGGAGGAGAAGGAGGAGGAGAGAGGAGAGAGAGGAGAAGGAGAGGAGAGAAGAAGAAGGAGGAGAAGGAGGAGAAGAAGGAGGAGAAGGAAGGAGGAGAAGAAGGAGGAGAAGAAGGAGGAGAAGAAGGAGAGAAGAAGGAGGAGAAGAAGGAGGAGAAGAAGGAGGAGAAGAAGAGAGAAGGAAGAAGGAGGAGGAGAAGGAGGAGGAGTAAGGAGGAGGAGAAGGAGGAGGAGAAGAGGAGGAGAAAGGAGAAGGAGAAGGAGAAGGAAGTGAGGAGAAGGAGGAGGAGAGAAGAAGAAGGAGAAGGAAGGAGGAAGGAGAAGAAAAGAGAATTTGGAGAAGAGAGGAGAAGAAGAAGAAGAAGAAGAAGAAGAAAGAAGAAGAAGAAGAGATAATAATAGTTTGGTGAGAGTGTTAGTATACAACGAGTGTATTATATATCATATGCACCTTACGTTTGTCTCATAGCCACATATGTTATTGAAAAATAAAATAGTGAAATAAAACAAAAAACCTAATACAAGTAAACTAGAAGTTACCAGGTGTAGGGCAGGTCGACCGCTAAGTTGCCATAACGTGCTCATTTTTGCAAACTTACGGCTTATATCTCGTAATACCGATGGCAAAAATGAATAAAAACTCAGAAAGAATAATCTAAATTAAAGAAAAAATAATTTTTTGTGAGATATTGCGACAAGAATGACAGTAGAGAGGGACCGAAACAGTCAAAGGTTAATTCATTGAATTTGTACTTGCATAATTTTGCTAATATCAATACGGCTTATTTATCTATCTCACTTCATCTACTATGACATAATAAACAATATAAATAACATAAAACATGATATATACTCTAAAATTAATAAAATATGTCTTCATTGGTGGTATGGGCAGTGTCAGCGGTGGACGAGAGTTTGTCTGGAGACGTGGCAAAATATACTTCATGAATATTTAGCTAATATCATCTATACGGCTATATTTATCGATCGCATTTAATCTAATATGACATAACAAACAATATAAATAACATAGAAACATGATATATACTCTAGATGAAAAAATGTCATTCATGTAGTGGTATGGGACATGTCAGCAGTGGAGAAGAGGTTGGAGACCGGCAAAATACTTCATGAATAATTTCGCTAATATCATCTATATGGCTTATTTATATATCACAGTTCATCTAATATGACATAACAAACAATAATGAACATAGAACATGATATATACTCTAGAATGAATAAAATATGTCATTCATTAGTGGTAATGGGCGTGTCGCAGTGGACGAGAGTTTGTCTGGAGACCGATGAAAATACTTTCATGATAATTTTAGCTAATATCATCTATACGGCTTTTTATATATCACAGTTCATCTAATATGACAAACAAACAATAAAAATAACATAGAAACATGATATATACTCTAGAATGAATAAAATATGTCATTATGTAACAGGTGGAGGCAGCCACAACTGCTCCCTCTTTGTTTTGGTAAACACTGTCATCTAGTGACGGCCTTTTGAAGCCGTCTGTTATAATTGTTATATGTAGTACATAAATTTTTTTTTTTCTTATTTGCTGGTATTCTCCCGGCCCGGGTCTTTTCCAAGTAGTGGTGACCCGGCCTTGGCTCCCTATCTGGGGAGTGTCTCGAGACGTAAGTCTCCGATGGGAGGAGGTACAAGTACCCCCTCATCTTTGGGACCAACTGTCCCCAGGCCTAGCCACGTCCCCGCCCTCACAGGGCTCATAGGGAGAAGCTAGGCCATCTACCCCGCCTCAAAAAGACTCGTGGGGATGGCAGTCTTATGAGGTGCAGGTGGCAACAAGCTCAGGCCTATCTGTACATTATTATTATATATGTATTATTATTATATGTATTATTATTATATTATTATTATTGTATTGTATTATTATACTACAGTGGACCCCCGGTTAACGATTTTAATCCGTGCAAGAGGGGTAATTGTTATGCGAAATAATCGTTATGTGAATGAATTTTCCCCATAAGAAATAATGGAAATAAAATTAATCCGTGCAAGACACCCAAAAGTATGAAAAAAAAATTTTTTTACCACATGAAATGTTAATTTTAATACACACAAACTGAAAAAGGCATGCACAATTACATGACACTTACTTTTATTGAAGATCTGGTGATGATTGATGGGATGGGAGGAGGGGAGAGAGAGTGTTAGTGTTTAGAAGGGGAATCCCCTTCCATTAGGACTTGAGGTAGCAAGTCCTTTTCTGGGGTTACTTCCCTTCTTCTTTTAATGCCACTAGGGCCAGCTTCAGAGTCACTGGACTTCTTTCGCACAAGATATCTGTCCATAGTGGCCTGTACCTCTCGTTCCTTTATGACTTGCCTAAAGTGTTTCACAACATTGTCAGTGTAATAATCACCAGCACGGCTTGCAATAGCTGTGTGAGGGTGATTTTCATCCATGAAGGTTTGCACTTCAAGCCACTTTGCACAGATTTCCTTTATCTTTGTAGTAGGCAACTTCTTCAATTTCTCTCTCCCCTCCTCTGAACCAGTTTCCCCAGGTCTGGCCTCTTGCTCTTGAAGTTGATGTATCAGCTCATCAGTGGTTAGTTCTTCATTGTCCTCCTCCACCAACTCTTCCACATCCTCCCCACTA